TACCTCTACCAATAGAATTATTTTTTTAAAAAAAGTATCTTGGCACCATGCAAGAGAAATCATTTGCTGGCCATGATACTTGGCTGTCTATTTGGTACACAGTTTTGGAGACAGTGGAAGTGGCTGGTGTAGTTCTTGTAGTAGAGGAGTGAAAGGTCAGCAGAGGCTTAAATGAGCTTGTCTTGCATCCAGCTGGGCCAGCAGGCGGTCATTAGGAAGCTCGGAGGCTCACTTTAGGCTTGACAGAGTCTCTCCCCATGATACGAGGAGACCGTTTTGCTCATTGCTCTTCTCCCAGTGTATAAAAAGAACCCCAGGGACAGGAATGACACAGAAGTTTATCTTACTACCAAAGTTTTGCTGGAGGAGGGCACAACTAGCAATTACTCAGGAGGGGGATTTATTTTGTTTGTTTGCTTTTGATGGAAAGTAATGGAGGTAAGTACAAAAGGCCTATTGATCCACTAGCTCTATTGTAAAGCCAAATAGAGTAGCAGTGAGGGGAAAAAATATCTTCTTTAAAACATTTAAAAGTCAGAAGACCTGCACAACTTCACTTTAGAAAAGAATTTTTGAAATGGAGCATTGTACTTTGGGAAAAACATAGGACAGGAAACAGTTGATCCCTTAAAATGTTCTCCTCTTGTTCTTGGAGAGGTTTAACACACCATATTTAACAACTAATTAATTAGGACAAATATACTATTAGTTATTTCCTTAGTGCTAAGTGGCTTACTTCTTGGAGGTTATTGCCTGGTGAACTTGTATATTTATTGAAAATCTCTCACTAGAAAAGTTTGCTAAAGTTTTCAAACATAGAGACTGATGGAAAAAATGGATGTTGCTATGCTAAGGTGATAACAGGAGGCAGGTAGCATGTTTTCACATCTTCACCTCTGTTGTTAATGTATGCAGTGGCTTATCAGAGGTACCTCATGTTAATTTATTCCTACACACCTGTACAGGGCTGGAAATCAGGTAATAAGACAAGCACAAACTATACATCTTTACTTTTTACCTACAGCTACCCAGAGGCCCATAGAGGAACAAATTTAGTTCTGGAGACATCAGCATGTTTTAATAAAGCAAACACAGATGCCTTCCTCCATGCAAATCAAGATGTTTGCATGTGTAAATCTAGACTGATTTAACTAGCAATCACAGGGAAGGTTCACACTTGGTACCAAGGGTTGCCTCATTTTTATTTATAAATCACCTTAGGCAAACAATATTTTGTTTTTAAATTTATTCACGTGGCTGAATCACCTTTTGTGCACCTTAAAGATGAAGCAGATAAGCTTACTTTTCTGATAAAATTTAAGAGAAACTTTAGCTACCAGTGGCCACTATTAGAAGAGAAGAATAAAGACGGTAGAAATTATGGAGGATGAAAACCAAAGGAGAAATACTTCCTTCCATACAGATCATCTAGTTTCCACATATTTAGGTGAAAGAGTTTTAAAATTGCCAATCACTAAAGCAGATATTAGCAAAATTTGACAAATTAGCAAAGGGTCCAGAATGTTGGAAAATAGGGCCAATGGGTATTTATTGGTTTTAGATCCTGAGTAAAAAAAAAAAAATGAGATTTACACATGTACTTCTCTCCAATACAGGTGACCTATGGCCAGTGAGGCTCTATGAGCATCAGACAACTGAGAAGAGAACAAATGATCTAAGGTAAACTAAGCTCTGCTGATTCTATGGTGCTGTCTTTTAAGAAAACTTCCTTTATGAAAATCCTAAATCTATGCCACAGAGTTAGAATTTCTTCTTCACATGGAATATCTCTTATGTGTAATTCAAAATTAAGGACCAGCCTCATTTCCAGGCAGAACAGCATCTTAGCAGGAAAAAAAATTCAAGGCATAAACAAAGAGTGAATTTAAATATCTGTTATTTCACAGTGTTCTCAACATATACTTGAATACTTTAGCAATCACCTTACAGAATCAAATTTCTTTATAGAGAAGATTATTTACATTTTACTTCTATTATCTATATTTTATTCTAACAGCTATTTAGTGTCTAGGATGAATTTGACTCTTGTGTATACTAGGTAACTCTTTTGAATTTATTAAACATATACTCATTAGCAACAAACCTTGTGTGTTTTTCTCCTCCCTTTCCATCACTTTAATCACAGAACATTCTTTGTGTTTAAAAAGCCTTTACTCTGATCTTATAAAAATCTTATGGCCCTTCTAGACCATAAGCAAAGACCTTGGCATCCTTTTTAACCAACTGCAAAACCTTAAACATACTATTTAACAACTTTCTGCTTTCTTCTTATTAACATGCCTATCTGAAGGCCCCAAACCCAATTCGCTCATGTCCACTGTCTTGCAAGCAACCTAGCACACCTGTGTGTATAGAGTTTCCATACAATCTGCTAAGCCTAAAGAAGAGAAGGCTGCCTTTGTCGACAGGAAGAAGAGAGAGATTCTGTTAGCTTTATCCAAGGCATTCTAGAAGCCCTGCATACTTCATCCTCCACTCAAAATTTTCTTTCATGCTTTCTTTGCACAAGGAAGTAACTGTGTTATCATGATGGATGAAGCTGAAACTCAGGAGAAAGGGAAAACAGAGGGTTGATAATGATAGGATTAAAGGAAGAGTTCTTTGAAAAGCATAGCTGGCTCAAAAGAAAGGTAAGAAAACTTAGTTTCAACAGTGAATCGGAGAGGGAAAAACTAAGATCGCAAATATCTTGGGGTGTTCCTGACTCCGACAAAGTAAACAGAGAAAAAGGTAAGTATAAGGGACATAGCAGAGATGGGATAGAACAGAGACGGGATCCAAAAGGCTGAATCACAGGCTGACATTAGTTAATGGAACAGCCTTAAAAGTCTGAAACAGGAGTGTAATTATGTTCCAGAGTCTACTTTGCTGAGACACAGAAACCAGCTGCGATCCCAATGGCATTGCTGTTTCTAAGGTTATGTGGTAGTAGCTAGCCGTACATAATTATACTAGTAATAGAAGAGATTGTCTTAACAAAGGTGAATATTTTCCTTCAAGAAACAGTTATGTCAAGATTAAAGTATCCCTCTTAACATGTTTTAAAAGTGGGATCAAAATATGTGTTTTGAGATAGCAAAATTTTAAGTGAGAAGCAAAAACTTCATTCTACATTTTCATCATGTGTTTCTTCATTTATCATGTGTGACAAAACCCTGAAATGACAAAGACTAGGTATGGTATACTATTTCATGCAAATGCAATGTATGAACTATCTTCTGAAGCTTGCTGTCTTCTGGGAGACTGAACACAGCTGGGAGAACCTTTTTATTATTCTTCCCATTCAGAATATCCTGGTTATCCTACTGACTGGTTCAAGCTTCTAATCTTAGACTAAAATAATAATGTCTTCCTTAGACAAAAAGCAACTTAATAGTACCTCTTTAATAGTACCTGGTGTATAACACCAGGAACAAAACACCAGCAGCACTGAGTTTTCTGGTGATTGGACATAAATTAAAGACATGTAGCCTTTTGGATCCGCAGCTGTTTATTCCAGTGTTATGACCTACAATATTTTCAGCAAACCATCTAAAACTATGACAGGAATTCATGCAAATAAGCTTAAATTTTGGCTTATCTTCAAATACTCCATTTCCATAAATATTTATGCAGCTTTTCATGAGAGTTTTATTTTTGTTAAATAAAATCCAATGCATTAACCTCATTATCACTAGTACTCCATTTTAAATTTGAAAAAGTGAATATTATTCACGGACTTGGGGGAGACTGGGTATAGTATTAGATGTTAGTATTCAAAGTATAAACTACCTTATCTGACATATTCTGGGACTGTCAAGGATTGAAAATGAAAATAACAGAAAATGGTATATGGAGGTAGAGAAATCATTTAAGGAAGTAAGTTTCTCCTCAAAGCATGTTTTGAGCTGTTTAAGAAAGCCACTTATTGGGCTGGGAAGGTGGCTCAGGTAGAGTGCTTGCCTTGCATGCTTGAGGCCCTGGGTTTGATTCCTCAGCACCACATAAGCAGAAAAAAAAAAAAGCTGGAAGTGGCGCTGTGGCTCAAGTGGTAGAGTGCTAGCCTTGAGCTGAAGAGCTGAGGGACAGCACCCAGGCCCAGAGTTCAGGCCCCACAACCGGACCCCCCAAAAAAAACTTTTTTAAAAAAAGGAAGCCACTTATTTTTCTTAGAGATTCCACTTTTCAAAAGTTTTTTTATGTCAGTAGAAGAAAAACATTATTTTTACTATTTTTTATTTTTAAGAAGATTGATCGCTCAAATATAAAAATCAAATAGAATATACTAGATGAGTCACTACTTTGGGGTGGTACTTTCATTATGTTACTTTGTCACATAACTCTATCCAATGATAAATACTAAAATTCCAGTGGTAGCTATCTGGAAACTCCCTTACTAAATTTCTTCCTTTTGTGCATATTGATTTTTGCCATGTAGTAAAATTTTCTCTGAAATTATTTTTGAAAAACTTGGAGAACCAAACCCACAACAAATACAATAGGAAGATCTATCTATTGTGTGAGTTAAGCTGGGCTGGTGTCTTAATGTGAATAATCAGCTTAACTCCATATGTAAAGGATAACCTTGTTACCCTACTACTGATCACCTACACACATTCCACATACATTGCCATTTTCTTTAGGATTAATAAAGAACATGGTAGGTTTAGGGCCAGCTGCTTCTGTTTAAGTCCTACTATTTCAGTGCTTCAGCTACATAGCTAGAGTGTGATGTCATCTGAAGGCTGGACATAAAGTATTCTAACTGATCTCTAAAGCACATGCATGTCTCCCTTTCTGTGCCTAATTCTCATGGGAAATTACATTTTAGAGCTACAATGAAAGACACTATGAAGTTAAAATAAAGAAACCCATGCCACCACACCTTTTCCCATACAACAATGATTGGTTTTGTTTTCTTCGAATATTTTTATGACTTGTAAAGAATTCAAGGACACACTAAATACTCATGTAAGGAATGATAACATTTCTGGTTATACCTACGGAGATGCAGGCTGTCTCGATGTCCTGGACCTATGGTTCTTTCCATCCGTAAATTTCTGTTTCTATATTGGATAAATATGTGTGTATGAAGATAATATATTGATTTAATTAAAAAGCCACAAGGCAAAGCAGAAATTATATATATAGATATATATATATATAATGACAGAAGCTGCGGCTTCTAAGTAAAGGTTAATGGGGAGGCAGGGAACTGTGTACAGATAACTTAATTCATACCTAGATGCATGGAAACACGTATGCACACACAAACACACAATCCACAGAGAAAAATGACGTGCATTACTGGGTAAGATGGCATATGATTCTGCATGCTTAATCATAACAAGCACCAAGAGCAACAATCCTCAAGAGCATTGCAGCTTAGTTATAACCAGGTCACCGTGGACAATTTTTACAGTCGCATCAGAAACATCTAAGTTGCATCATTTAATAGTAAGTCCAACGTGACTGAAACTGGCACCCTCCACCCTCAGCAAGAGCAGCCAATGGAGATTTACTGACCTGTCTCTGCTTCGGCGAGAGGGGAAGGCAGCATTGCAACCAGCCACTGTGCAGACATGCATCTCTTTTAAGTGAACATTCCGGTAGTGAAGCTTCACACTGTAGGAGCTTTTGAAACTCTTCTTGCACACGTAACAGATTTTAGGGTCTGGGCTAGAACACAGGTCACCTTCTGGGGAGAATTTTTGAGGGCTGCCATAATTCAGAGACGATGCAAAACTCTCATGCAGGGCAGCCATACTGGCCCCCCCACCATTGTACAGTCCATACTGGCTCATGTAAAACATGTCGTAAGTGGGATCTGTAAATTCCTCCTTCACCTTGATAACATCCTGGTGAGAGGGCTCACTGTGGTTCTCATCTGGCCTCTCGCTGTTCAGCAGGACCTTTTCGCTCACCTCACCATGCATGTGCTCATCCCCTTCCATTGATTCCTCACCAAGCTTGGGCTCTGAAGATTCAGACTCATTCTCATAGTCCCGCTCAGGCTCCTGGTCCTCAGAGGTCATGCTATCTGCCCTTCTTATTTCAGTCCTTGAAATGCACAGGGTCCTGTTATGCTTAGAAAAGTCCTTCACAGACATGCCTGGGCTCATCTCCTCTTGGGAGTGGCAGTGATTGTCATGGCTCATGTCATTTACTACAGCTCCGCCATCATTGGGGTCATCATCTTCATCATCAAACTCATCAGCGGTATCAATAATTTCCTTCTCAATCTTTACAGGCATGCTTGACTTCCTGGGCTTTTTCTTAGGTGCCAGGTCGACACTGGGCTCATGGGTTGCCATCATCACTGCTGGCACTACTGGCTCAGAGGGTGGTGGGGGGTGCTGCTCTATGGTACCACTGGTTGGAATGATGGGACTAGTTGGGAGGGAAGTTGGAGGGCTCACCATTTCCCCTGGAGTGAGTAAACTTCTATAAAATGGAGGAACTGGTTGTACAGTCTTTAGCCCAGGAAATACCAACTGGCTAGGGAGAGGATTCTGTAAGACAGGGTCTAGTGGGGGAGTGGTAAAACCCATTGGGGGCCGGCCAGGACTTGTAAGTGTGAGATTTGATTTTGTACTTGCTATGACAGGAGTGGCAGCTCCTGATGTAGCCCGAATTAAATCTTTGTCTCGGTTGTTTCTTAGCATAGGCATGTGAAGACGAGGGTTAGGGTTTGCACTGTGTCGATTACGGCTTCGGAGGGAGCTGAAGACCATATTGCAACCTTCAATGGTGCATCGGTGTTTGATCTTCAGGTGAACCGCATTATAATGAATTTTGAGAGTACCCTTGTCATAGAATGTCTTCCCACATGCATTACAGAACACTCTTCCTTTCCTAGAGGCTGACCCCATCCTTCTCATCCGGTGAATCCGGAATGAGCTTTTTGGGTGTTCAGTTTTGGTTAGATCACTGACAGGGGCAGAATTCTGAATGGGGGAGACACAAGCTGGTTCTGTTTTGGGTTCCACATTAGTAATGCTGGTCAGGGCATTTCTGTTGGGTGTCTGATCATTCTTATAAGGTGTGGGAGATACTTCAGATTCACTGCTCTCATTATATTCATTCTGTGTTGAAAGGCTTGGTTCTCGCAGCCTCAGTCCTGGTTGCTCTAAAAGTAGCCCATTTGGAGGCAACCCTAGCAGTGGGGCTGAGACAGGATTTATATATTGGAATGGAAGCAAAAATGCAAGGCTGTTGGGGATGTTTTCGAAGTGATGTATGCTTGAAGGATTGCTGTTCTCTAAGTGAGCGAGGAGACTGGGACTTCTGGTGCGATTATTGCTCTCAATGAAAGTCCTTATATCTGAGTCTGTCTTTGAAGATGGTACAGCTACGGCCTGCCCTTCTTTCTCCTGAATTGCCATTAGCTCCACAATGGATTTGGTTTCTCCAAACCGCAGAAACTGCTGAAGGGTTATGATTTCTTCTTCTCGTGACATGATAGCCCAGCGGTCCAGAACCTTGCCAGCAGCATCCTGTAGGCCATATCAAAGAAACAACAAAAACAAAGATAAAAACTTATTGATTGTGCATAATTACTCAATGTAACTGAAGGTGTTCTGTCTGCTCATGAAACACAGAGAGCAAGAGCAGAAAACAACATGCAAGCACTGTTAATAAAAAGTCAACCCACAAAGCAAACTTTTCTGTCATGCAAATCTAGCAATTAGAGTCACAGTTAGAGAAACAGATTGTATTTAATAATGTCAAAGCAAACAAATGTAGACCACTGGGGCTCTGTGATCTAAAATGCCTTCAGTATTGCTATTTTAACAACAATGATCTATATACTATGCAACTATTTAGCATATATTAGTATAAGACGTGAACTCTTGCTGTGCAACCCGGTATAAATGCAAAAAAATGGTACCTTAATCCTTATTAAATAGTGACACCATAGGAAGGAATTAAGTATAGTTTGCGAAATTTACTTCTTCGACACAAGCAGACATGACACTGGATTCAATGATGGAAATTCCTTTAAATGGAAGTTATGTAAATCTCTGAATCAAAAAGATGAATGAAGTAGGATTACCCCTCAAACCCCCAACTACCATACTGTATCTCTTCTTTTTTAAATGGGTAGTTAGTATCAGCTAAAGGAAGACAATTTTCATAAGGTAGAATAACGGAGCTATCACTTGTGAAAGGTAATTGTACTTTTCCTGGAAGTTGTTTGTGATCATGAGATTTAAAGTTTGAATTAGACTTAAAGTATTTCACTTTTTATGATTTTGTTATAAATGACTGTTGGATATTTGAAAAGTAAACATGTGATGGTTTTAGATAGACTAAATGTGTAAAAAGTTGTCTCTTAGCATCCTCTTCTGATAGTAAAGGGAGTCCACGGAGACTATACACATCAGCAATCATCAGACTATGTGTTGTTAAATATACATTAAAAAGCATTTCACACTTTCATTTTTGCTAGTAACTGTGAGATTTGCCTGGAGGTAGGACTTAAAATCCTGCCATGTAATGTCAGACAATCCATTTCAGCATGGATTAAAAGAAATATATTTAAACACGTAAATTATGGCTTCATTATTTTCTGGGGCATCATTTCTTATATCCATAAGACAGGGCTCTTTTCAACACTCTGAGATTGACGTTTGATTTAACCCTGACCATCAATTTAAAGAAGCACAAAACCTTCTTGAAAAACAGAATAAAGCTTCAAGTGTAGATACAGTTAGCATGCATAAAGCCATGGGTTCAATCCCCAACACCAAAGTAAACAAAAATGACATGATATTTACTTATTAAAAAGTGAAAAATAATAATCTTGCACTGAAGAAATCTAACATACCACCTTAAAAGAATAATCAAAGTTAACACCACTAGTTGAAGTCACACTGGTACCATGTTGAGAAAAACATACTATGATTTCTGTGGCATTGTCTTACCTTAAGCCAAGTGTAAGAAAACATCAGACAAACCAAAATTGAGGCCAACTCTAAAAAACAGAAGAGAATACTTTCCAGATGTGAAAGTCAGGAAATTATGTTTTAATCAATCAGGCTGGAGGTATGGCTCAGTGCTTGCCTAGAAGTACAAGGCCCTAAGTTCAAACACTAGTAGCACTAAAAATAAATAAATATAAATAAATAAATAATATAAAAAAAGATAAAGAAGGGTTATAAGATATGGTACTAAGAAGGCATAATTGTGTGACCCTAAGCTGGACGCCAATGATGGCTCATGACTGTAATCCTACCTACTAAGGAGGCTAAGATCTGAGGATCACGGTTCAAAGTCAGCCCAGGCAGGAAAGTTAGTGAGACTCTTATCTCCAATAAACCACCAGAAAACCAGAAGTGGTGCTGTGGCTGAAGTGGCAGAGCACTGGCCTTTAGCTGAAGAGCTGAAGAACTGAAGAACTGAGGGACAGCTCCCAGGCCTAGAATTCAAGCTCCATGACTAACTGATATAAATAAATACATAAATACATAAATAAATTGTGTAGACCCTAGGTAGCCTAGACCAGTGAAAGGACATTAGTGGGAACACTAGCAAGATGTGAAGGTTAATTAACAGTATTTTTTTTTTATCAATATGCTCATTTCAACAACTCCATTGTAAGATATTAAATTGAAAAAGATAAAAGATATAAACAACATGTACTATTTTTTCAACTGTACAGTATGTGTTCAACTTTTGAATATAAAATTCCCCTTGAATCATCAGAGCTAATATGAGTACATATATTTGTCATTTGTCTGCATTGCTTCTCAACAACCTTTATAAGGTTCCTTCCTAGCATTCTATTACTTTATATAAATGTGAAGGTGCATGCATATGGATATCCATTCCTGTGAAGATTGGCAGATACCCTGGCCCCTCCCTTATCAAATAGGTAAAATTGGCTTTCAAGTGAAATATTCTCACACAAATCTTTGCTCCAAATAATCATATAATGTTATGGTTGTGACTCCAGATAATCTTGTGGATCTGAAATGGCCATTTAAAAATTACAGCCAGTAATACATTACACTAACATTCTTGTTTTGGAATGTAGGAACGATGGGGAATGCAGTTATTGCTGGTACACAGAAAAATAAATTGTGATTCTATATAGATTATCTCATTTGAACTGCTTATTATTTCCAGAGTTCAGCAAATGTGTAACAAATAATAAATCAGAGGTGAAGAAATGTAAGATGGCTTTTGAATGTTACCAAGATGCAGCTCAGGTGTCCAGGACTTGAACATAGATATGCTAACTTCACAGAGTGTCTACTATGTTTAGTGAATGTTGTTTTGTGATACCATTTCCCAGGTGAGCACACTGGATTTATGGAAGCCAGGAATAACTGCAACTGTTCCTCAACAAGGCTTTTGATAGAACACTGGAGTTTTCTCTTCCAGAAATTTCTCTCTTACTTCCAAACCTACTCTCTCAATCATTCTTTTCTGGAGCCTTTTACTATGATTGCTTCTGAGACTGACACCCAGTCTGAGCAGCATCTCCCCCAAGTTCTTCCTAGGTAACCTGTAAGCCTGAAGATCAGTATGTACAGCTGGCAACCTCTTCTCCGGTATTAAAATGTACCTTAGAAACAACATGAACTAATCAGATGCATTGTAGGTAATCTCATTTCCCTCATCTTCTTATCTCCTCCCTCCCTATAGTACACAGCAGTTCCATCTGATTTCTTTTTTCTCCTGGCATCACAAAACATTATGGGGCTGACTCCAAAAGACTAGATAGCCTCCATTCCAATCATATGAAAATCTGGGTTAAAGTAGGGTTGTAAGGCCAGAAAGCCTATCAGTGTTTGCTAGGGTAGCGTGTGGGAGAATTAGGGAACTTCTTGGAATGATGGTAATGTTTTGGTTTCATGACTTTGTTGATGTTTATGTGACTATGTAGACTTTATGCTTAAAACTAGTGGATTTTATTGTATGTGAAGTATACTTTAGAGATCAGGATGTAGCTCAGTGTTAGGGTGCTTGTCTAACATGGGCAAGGCCCTGGGTTCAAACATACAAACACAAAAGATGAATGAGTTTTGCTCATTAGACATGGTGAATGAGTTTTGCTAGGCCTATAATCCTAGTACCTGGAGGGTGAGGTAGAATAATTGAGAGTCTGAGACTTGCCTGAGGTAAAGAGTAAGTTCTAGGCTAGCCTGGTCCAAATAGTGAGCCTTTATCTAAAAATAAATAAACATGTGGCGGTGGGTGGGAAGGGATGGTAGGGGAAAAAGGAGGAGGCAACAATGCTTGATAGGAAATGTACTCATTACCTTGCTCAAGTAACTGTAACCCCTCTATACAGTATTTTTACAATAAAAAGGCTGCATTAAAAATAAAATAAATATACAAAGAAACAGCTGGTCATTGGTGGTGACTTAGGAGGTAGGGATTAGAAGGATCAAGGTTGAGGCTAGCCTGAACAAGTTTCAGAGAACCGTATCTCAACCAATTGCTGAGCATGTTGGTTTATGCCTGTCTTCCCAGCATTCTGTGAGGCTGAGTTAAGAAAGATTGCAAACCAAGCTTATTTCAGCAAAAACAGAGACCTTATCTGAAAAACTATCAGAGCAAAGGATGTGGAGGCCGGGCTCAAGTGGTAGAGTACCTGCCTAGCAAGTGCAAAGCCCTGAATTCAAATCCTAGGAAGGCCCTTCCCCAAGTATAAACTGAAGTTGAATTGTGTAATTTGCATGTGATACCCATTATGACATGAAAAATAAACACAAAAGATTCAATTTAGTTTTTACTCAGAAAGATTTTTTTACTAATATTTTATATGTGGGCTTATGGTAGTGTATTACAAATTTAGAAAGTTTTACATATGTCAGGATACTTCTACTCATCCATTATTTTTACTAGTGGGATATAAAATACTTTGTGGAGACTTATTCTCAGAGAGCTAATACTAGTATGTGGTAGGCATGTACCATATGCACAATCTTCACAAACACCTATCTTCTTTGGCTTTTGTGTTAGCCTCTTCTTTTTTTTTTTCTTTTTTAAGGATGCTTAAGAAGTATTATTTAAATTTTTAAAAAATTATGTTAAAGCCCAAAGAAACATAGGTCCCATGGTTTCCCTTATTTGCAATATCTAGTATATATATGAGTCAAGCAGAAAAGGTCAGATAAGGTGATGTTAGGAAAATGAACCCTAAGATATGTATTTAAGTGTTTTTTTTTCTTTCATGCATTTGTTTCTAAAGCATTTATAAGATTATTTCTTTGTTGCTTTGTATGTCCTTCCCCCACACTATAACCCTTGCTTTCACTGTATTTGATGTTGGAATAATTTGTGGAGGGGAAGGGGAAAAACAAGTTGTTTAAATAAGGATACAGGTGGACCTGTTGCAACAATGAGAAGTACAAGTTGTCATGTTGAAAATGGACTTTACAACTTTGGTGGGGGATGGGGAGGATTGTGGGGGGGGGGGGGGAGGCTGGGAAGTGATGGGAAGGGGAAACAAAGGAGAAGGCTACAATGCTTGATAAGAAAT